ATCTGCACGTCTTCCCCCTGGCGGGAAGGAGGAGAAGGATTCACACTGACATTGGGCTGCAAGGAAACCAACTGCAGTCAGACAAGGCATGAATGAACGAGGTGTCACTGCTATGAAGGTAAAGGCCTTGGTTTGTTATAGGAACAAAACCCTGTGGCTGAAAGTAAGAGGGGAGTGCTGCCAAGTAATGTAACTGAGATGGAAAGTGGTTGATTTGAATAAAAAGTGAGTTCTGGGACCAGTTTTGCAACCACTGAGGCTATAATTTTTCTCACAAGTGTTCACATGTCTAACGCCCCTGGAGGTGTTTCAGGAGGGACTGGACGTGGCACTTGGTGCCATGGTCTAGTTGTTATGATGGTATTAGGTCATAGGTTGGACTTGATCTCAGACGTCTTTTCCAACCTGATTGATTCTGGGATTCTGTGACTGAAGGCATGGCCACTCCCTAAGCACTGTCACTGTGACTTTGCACTATTCCTCACATCTTGTACAGCATTTTTACCTCCCAGCCTCAGCCCAGCCTGATTTTGCCAGTCATGAGATAGAAGTTTAATCTATTCATTGAGAAATTCTTTTCTGTCCACTCCCCATTGCCACTGAAATTCACCAGACCCTGACTGTATACCCTGAAAATGACATGTGTATGTACATATTACACACAGGCAGACACATTTTTCTTTCCCAAAAGCCAAGAGCTGCTCCCAGCACAGATCAGGGCTGGCAACACCTTCTCCCACAGATCTTCCAGGGACCTGTCTGGCATTTCTAAAACACGTCAGCACGGGGCACTCCACACCTCAGCTCTGACAGGGACTGCTCTGGGTAGTTGTTCTGCCCCAGATACAACTCTGAACATTCACTTTGTTTTAGAAACAGGTTGCCCAGAGAGGTGATGGATTCTCCCTCACTGGAGATACTCCAGAACTGCCTGGATGCAATCCTGTGCCATGTGCTCTAGGATGGCTCTGCTTGAGCAGGGAGGTGGGGCCGGATGACACACCGTGGTCCCTTCCAACCTGACCCACTCTGCGATTCTGTGAAACACATTTTAGAGCAAGAGAGTCTCAGGGAGGAGGGTCACATCAGGGAAAAGGACCTCCTCAGGAAGAAGGGTCTCAGGAAGGACAATCTCAGGAAGAAGGATCTCCTCAGAGAGAAGGACCTCAGGGAGGAGAAACTTCTCAGGAAAGAGGATCTCCATAGGGAGGAGGAAGATCTCAGGAAGAAGGATCTCCTTAGGAAGAGGGATCTCCTCAGGGAGAAGGATCTCAGGGAGGAGGAACTTCTCAGGAAGGAGGATCTCCTTGGGGAGGAGGGGGATCTCAGGGAGGAGGATCTCAGGAAGAAGGATCTCCTCAGGAAGAAGGATCTCCTTAGGGAGAAGGATCTCCTCAGGGAGAAGAATCTCAGGGAGGAGGATCTTCTTGGGGAGGAGGAGGCGGATTTCAGGGAGGAGGACCTCAGGAAGAAGGATCTCCTCAGGGAGAAGGATCTCAGGGAGGAGGATCTCAGGGAGGAGGAACCTCTCAGGAAGGAGGACCTCCTCGGGGAGGAGGAGGATCTCAGGGCGAAGGATCTCCTTGGGGAAGGAGGGTCCCCTTAGAAAGGAGGTGCCCTCGCGGTCTCTGCTCTCCAGGGCTTCTGAGCTGCCTCCAGCGCCTTCCACAGTGCTGCTGCAGCATCACCCACCTCTCCCTCCGCGTCACGGGGATAACATCGCCGGTTCCTCCCTCCGTCCCTCCCTTCCCTTCTCTTCGTTCGTTCGTTGGTCCGTCCGTCCCTCCTCCCTC